GGCACGGCGTGCGGGGTCGTGGGGGGAAACCACCGTGTTTTCTTTGCATCCCCTTTGATTGAAATACGTGTTTGTTTTTATCCACACCCAGACTTCGCCTCTCCTCGAACCACGATTTACTTCTTGGCCTTCCACTTTCTCCAAGTTCCATTGAATAGAAAAGTTCAAATGACATGCCTGACTGCCACATCTTAAATTAAACTCCACCCATGAGTGAATGTGTGAAGCAACTGTGCACATTATAGACTTAAGATGGCAAAGCCGCCTTGGCGGAAAAAGCGGAGTGTCATTTCATTGTTGATTTTAGAATGTGCACCTTATTTGCAATTTAAGACCAAACTTTAAACTTAAATGACCTTTAATTCTGTTTATTTGTTTCAATGCAATACTGTTAGCCAGAGACTTCAATACCTTGTATGATGATCAGTGTTATGTGCCTTGGCTCAATCACGGCGCTGCCTTGTCGTGCTCCTCCAACCGCAAATATCAATGGATGCACATCTTCACACAATCATGTACAAAACAACTTAATGACTTTGGACAGAGAGTCTGGGTGCTCACCTTCACATGTAAAGTCAGTCAGATATATCTACCACCTGTGGACAGCTGGATCAATACAGAGACTTCACACAACAAACCTCCCTCCATTTGACAGTCCAATCACCCAAGCACGGCGTTAAATGTGGTGTGAATGTTCAAAGGTCACAGAGGTGTAATGTCGAGCTTTGCAGGCTAACACACATTTATATTCATGAAGGAGCTCATTCAAACATTGGTCACATGCTTTATTTTGTCATCTTAGGCTTTAATTCACTGTGTATACACAATAACATATCCTGTCAATAACTGGGTAATGATGAGTCAAAGGAAGAGACCATTTTGGATTAGTGATGGTTTTCAATTAAATTCAGATACTTGTGGTTCATGATGAGAAAAAAACTATGATTTAGGTTTTCTTAATATTATGAGAAAGTGGTTACATGTTTTAAAGAAAGGCTTTTTTAATATAAAAAAAACCAAAATCTATATCAACGTTTATATTTGTAAAGTTTTGACACCTCTCTGCAAAATCCCAGAGCGGACGCGCCGAACACTCGTCATACTGGAGAAGTTTCACTTGGAAGTAACCTGCAAAATCACCACTGGGCGGCGCCTCTTTCTACGCACTGCTCCTTTAAATGGCGAAACATCACAACTATGATTTTTCGTGACACAGGACTTCTATTGAAAAGGACTAGCAGAATAATGCAGCGTCCCTGGTAGTGGGAACACAACCGATACACACATTGATGCCCAAAGACAGTAATCCCTCCTGTGATAATAACTAGTATATTTAGATCTATGTCTATGTTACTGAAGCAACGGATGCTGTCATTTTACTCATGATGACTCTCATAAACTGCAGGTGGACAAAAAGAGTTAAAAGGAATTTGAGTCCCTCGGAGCGGAAGTGAGGACCCTTCATCTCACAACAAGTCATGAGACGCACCGACCATCACAGATTGATGAGGTCTAATAGTGTAACCGGATCCTGGAGGGCTTTCCCTTGAGTGAAATTCCTCACAATAGATTTTAAGTGTGACCGTGTAATAGCATGTTGCTGCGAAACACAGTTTTGCCGAAGCAGAGTGTGTGTATGAATGCCCCTTAACATAGATTGATAACTTAGTAATCAGTAAAGCAGGAAGCTCGTATCGCACATGTGACCGCGTAGAGACGCAGTACGGTGAATGATAGAAACACCACGGCTGTATTTTTGTGATGTAATCTAACGGATTGGTTTGTTTCAGGTTCACGGCCAATCGAACCAACGATACCCAATCAGGGGCAGAATGGGACGAGTCTTCACAGAATTCGGGCTGCATTGAAGACAACTGGGAAAATACGGGACAAGCCCCGTCTGGCGTCCTGGTCCGACACTGTGCGGCTGAGGTCTCATGCAGAATGTGAATTGCAACCTCAACAACTACACACATATCAGTAGCTGTGATAGTGGATAACAGCAAAGCAAAGATGTCCGACCTGGCTGTAAAAACACATTTCTAGCAGAATCCCACATTGCATTTGTTTTCTCGGTAAACCAAATCAACGCGGATGAAATCTCCAGCGCGACTTTTGGCGGCTCCACAGCCGGTGGGGCAGCCTTGAGCCTTGAGCCGGAGTAAGCGCCGCGATTAGATAGAAGGACCCGGGAAGCCACAGAGCTCCATTGTACTCGTACGTCTTCTGTCCCAGCGAGGCGGGCGGGCCAAGGCCAGTTTCGCCAGGGCGCAGGAAGGAAAGACGGGAATCAGAGGAGGGACTGTGGGGAAGGGGGAGGGTGATAAGGACGAGGACTGGAGAAGGGAGATGGAGGAGTAAACTATAAACAGAGACGTGGTGCCTGTTTGCTGTGGTAACCGGCGGTAACGGCTGTGCTCTCTTTCATGTTGCGTCGTCGGTAGAGTGGAGTTGGAGATTTATTTGGCCGTCAGTATGAAGGGAGGGGGACCTGCAGGACACGGCCCGACAGGATGACCCCCGACCTTTCTTCTTGCCAGAGCTCCCTGCTGCTCCCATGAAATGCCCGAGGGGCCAAGAGACGAGCCAGTGTGTGTCAGATAGCTTAGGGCCTTTTTTCAAATGTATTTTTCAAAAGGGGGGAAATCAATAAGTTGGGTCAGAGAGTGGCGGCTGCAGAAATGTGAGCCTGTGATATTTACGTTGCTGTAAGGCACAACATGTTCTGAGCACTTGTCAAAGATGTGCCTCCAAGAGCATGTTTGGTTGTGAGAGAAAAACAAGTCGATAAATGGACCTGAAGTCACTATTTCTTTTGTGGCACGCAGTATTTACTATGAAAAGCTTACTGTATATTTAATATCTTGCTTGTACTACGGGTGAACTGATTTTTAATGTACTTTAATATATACTTATATCTACACACAAGTATAAAGAAGGAATCCTGATTTTCTATGCAGGTGGTCGGTTGTTGTTACATGCATACACATTAGAAAACAGTAGCTCTGAAGATGTATCTGATACGGCGATGTGCTGCACATTAAGTGCATAATGCTGGTGTTTTTATGTATTCGCCTTTTTGTAAAAGAACATATAAATTCCTCCGAATGACTTTCCTTTAGATTTGCTGAATTCAAAATATATAATGTTAACAAACTGGCTATAAATTCATTATGTGAACAAAATAAGTGCATCCTTTCATTTACAGTCAAAAGAAATGATAGCATTGTTGAAAAACAGGAACCCTTCGGACCGCTAGTTGTGACCTGACATGTATATCACGTATGGCCCACATGACTCAAGGTGGGCTTGTTTCCTCCGGGGCTTTGGTTGAGGGTGATACAAATCCTCTACGTTTGGTTATTGAGGAATTGTGACCAGCTTAGTTTGTGCTTTTACTCAAGAAAGATACGTTGTTCCTAATTTTCTTAGGACCACAGGTGCATATTTAAAGCTGAAGCTGTGCTGCACACGCTGTTAAAAGCAAGCATCTCAATGCTGATCAACTCCAGCCAGAGTAACCAGATCAAAATCAAATCTTCTCCCCGCGTATTCGCATTGAAGATAGAAAACAGTTTAGGGTGGGTTGTGAAATCGCAATGACAGCGGTGTTATTCTCCCTCACCCAGGGTTTCCCCGCCGTGCATCTTGGATTGCACTCTGGCCGGAGACAAAGCGGGTAATTGGATTCACATTGTGTCTGCGAGGGGAAGCGGGGAACAAACTCCACCTCTCCCCAGGCTGGCCCTCGGCGGCCAGCGTGATGGTGATATTGTACTGACCCCGCCTATCAGGGGTCACGATGGGGAATTATGGTGTCAGCTGTCAAGCTGAGACCCATATTCTGCCCAGAGGTTAGGCACATTCTAACTAAACCCGGCTCGCTGACATGCTCACACTCGGGGAAACGCACTCTTTTATCGCTCTCTTTATCCCAGCACTCTTTCTCTCTCACTGCACAGGCCTCCTCTCATTGGGTTTACGGGCCTATTGTTGCCCCCCAGGGGTGAGAGAGGGGAGAGAAATTACCAGCTGCAGCGGAGCTTGGCCACTGAGTCAGAGTGACAGACACTGAGGGCCGATGGCTGCTGGTGCGTCAGTTCATAATGGGCATGACAAACAGAATACTGGCCAAAGGACAGACGTGGGCCCCTAAAAAGACAGTGGTAAATACTGTGGCTGGAAAACAGACCATCGCTTTCTGTCTCGTCTTCGTAAAAGTATGAAGTGTGCAGAGTAGTTGCCTAATGTCAGAACCTAAGAACCTAATTGCTCACGGGGCAAACATGTCGAACAAGGCCCATGTGTGCATAGAGCAGGTGAGCGAGTTGGCTTGAGGATGACGTCTCTACCATGCGGCCGCCGCAACGCGAGGACGGTAGAAACGTCCGTGGGTCAATGGCACAAAGACGCCAAGAGAAATGTCAGCGAGAGACCTCTCTCACCGGGTCCACGCAGATGTTCATGAGTTATAAACCAGCTGTGTGACGGCTGCACAAGCGGGCAGGTCGTTTTCTTAGGGCGGGTACCTCGGGTTTGACTGTGCAGAGTACGGTTCATTAAAAGCTTATTACCCAAGACATTCTGCCTTTATTGCATATATATTATACTCTAAGATGAAACCAACTTTTGAATATGTTTCATAAAATATGGCAAAATCTATGAATAAATAACGTATGTATGAGTTTAGAGCTGACACATTATAAATATGGAGTCTCAGCACTGAAATAAGACCCTTAGTGAGTAACTATTGAGTGACTTTGTGTGATGGAAATGGGAGCCAAGGGGTTTGTTAAAATTAAAAAGTTAACCATCTGCTGTTCTGGCAATATGCGTAATTACTTGAACATGTATGTCATTGTCAAACACAGACCTAATTACATGCAACGTAAATCTGTGTATTATATATATATTTGTTTTGTAACAGGATGGCACGGAGGATGGTGAATAAATGGCAGCGCAGCAGTCAAAAGGCAGAGCGTGTCTTCATTCACAGACACTCTTTAATCATTTTAACCTGAACCCAACACGCTGTCTTCCCCTTCGCTACTCCTTCCATCGTCCTTATGTAGCCCCTTGACGACATGCGGTCCAGGTGTGTCTCCCAGCACACCTGATCTTGATGAGTTTCTGATAGATAGATAGATTGGAAATGTTGGTATCACAGCAGCATGTACAGGGAAGAAAATAGAATAAAAAGATACACATTATATACAATATAATAAGAGAAATATTAAATTATTAAATTAAATTAAATAAACTGAAACAAAAGAATAACCTTCCAAAAGAGACAATAATAATAATTTGTAAAAGGAGAAGAGGAAGAGGAAAGAGCAGCAACATCACAGCAGTACAGGGTTATTATTGTCATTATTTAGCCGTGCTAAATATGGCTCGTTTAGGTGGCCCGCCCCCCCGGATATATCTCCCCTCCACCACTCCGCCCCTCAGCTCCTTACAGTTTGATCTGATGAAAGGTGCATTAAAAGACGCATTTTTTTTTTTTACAAAGTCTGCGGTTGTGCAGAGTCCATAGACGTGTAGATTGATAGTTGATTTTGAATGATCAGCCACTGTACAGCTAGTGGATCAAACTAAAACTGAGTGTATTCATCTGATTCGTATTTAGTTACAGCTTTTTTATTTTTTTTTCTATTTTGGACAAAGTTCTGTCTGCTGAGAATGTGAATTTGGTTAAACTACTGAAAAAAAAGAGAACGTATTGTTTTTGCACGCTCTTTTTTTCAGTAGTTTACCCAAATTCACATTCTCAGCAGACAGAACTTTGTCCACCTCTTGGTGTGCAGGGCGGCTCAGTTCAGCGAGCAGGTCATTGCTTCAAGGTCCTGACTGTATCCACTCTGTACTGCTTCCCAAGTCCGTCAAATGCAACTGGAAACCATCAAATCAAACACAATCAAACTTGTGTCTCTACTCGAACACCAACGTTCATTCTCACACTCGAGCGCACAAACAGGCGCCGCTGCGAGGCCTCTCTTTGCAGCCGGCTGCGTGCTCAAGAGGAACCGATCTCCTGTCCGCTTTTTTTCTCTCAGCTCTCCCGTCACACGCTGACACCGAGCGCAGCGGCACATCAAAGAGGCGTGCGTTTGATGCTAACCATCAATATGCATTTCCTCCTGCACCACTTTCTCCCCAGCATTCCTCCTCTGTGTCCTCTCGCCGCCGCGCTAATTGCCTTCAAAGCCAATTAGCGCAAATTACGTGCGACGGCGCTGGTGGTAGAAACGCAGCGCTCGTGGGCAGCGGCGTCCTGGAAGGTCAGATACACGTTAGCTCTGCGGCTATCGTTTTCCATGTGAGCGCTTTTCCGGTTTCTACTGGTACGACTAGGCTATCAGCGTAACGCGCGTCGACCTTCCTACATTAATCTCCTGATGTGGCGCGGGGAGGGGTTGTGTAAATGCATTATTAGGAGAGCAGCGAGGCGCTGCCCTAAACTTGTGAGACCGGTAAGTATGTTTAGTTAATTTGTCGGGGCCCTGTGTTGGCGCTTTGCATCCGCAGCCTGTAGCCGATGTTTGGCTAACGCTGCCAGGGCCATTTCACCGCGGTGTCCGCCCGTATTCCCCCCCTCGGAAAATACATGTTTTACTCCGCGAGCCAGATCAAAGCGGAGACGCCGGGATCAAAGACGGGCAACACGCCGCTTTGGTCACATCTGTGTTGTTTACATGAATGCTAAAGGCACTTATATCAAATATTACCAACTTTGAAAGATATATGTGTTGAATCAAAGTATTTTGATGTCACTTTTGAAGTACATCAGTGCATTGGGGATAATTTGGAAAATCTCCCCGCAATTTCACAACAATTTTGTAAGCCTTAAACAAGATGAGAGGACCGAGCCCTGATAGAGTATGCATCTGTTTGCATCCCCCCACGCCTACGCCCACGTATTTCCAAATTCCGCCACATCTTCGCTATCAACAGCGCGGCCCCCTGTAGGTATGCCTCTGAAGAGCTTAGCCGGGCTCCCAGTGTCCGCGCAATGGACTTAACTCCGCAGGATCAAACACTCCCCGTCAGTCCCAAACCGTGTGAGAGATCCACCAATAAGGAAAGCTAAGGGTGGCTACAGTACCTCGCGCTGCCTGTTGTTTATCTGTTGACCTCAGATGTTTCCTCCTCGGTAATCTCCCCCGACGGGAGGCTGAGGAGGACGGGATGGGGAGGGGGGGAGAAGGAGGAGGAGGTGCAGTGGGGGGGGGTTCAATGACCTGTGAGCCGGCCTGCTGTTGGGCTGGGGGCTACAGACCCCCCCCTTTTTACCTCTAACTGGATTATGGGCCTTGCCATTCCCCTTGCAAAGCAGCAGTTCAGACCAGCTACACACACACACACACACACACATAAATAATTGGGGGTTCTTCTCTGAAACAGCAGCAGCCCCCCCCCCCCCTCCTTGGGTTGTTGCTGGGTCTCTCCTCAGTCCCCTCCAGGTACAGTGAGCCCCCGCTCCCTCCCTCCCTCCCCCAAAGAAAACACACAGCCCCCCCTGTCTCCCTGCCAGCAGCTGACCCCTGCCAGAGAGGTATGTGTTGCAGATAAGTATGTCAGGACTCAGGAGGAATGTAGGGTTCACTGGTTTGTGTCTGGCTCCGTTTCATCACCGGGACTCGCCGGTGAAAGAAGACCTAAATAAATCCTTTTAACAGACACAAAATGACGACAATAGAAGCACCGACTGATATGTAGTCCCTTGCATTTGAGCATTAGTAAGTACGCGTCCTTTTACCAGATTTGTTTTGTCTGTTTTATCAAGCCGTGCGGATGATTTGGGTTTCACAGTGGAACGTTGAAATGTCTTCCAATGTTGTGCGCAGCAGAGCAAGAGACCCTGCCGTCCCGTACTGGGTAAGGGAGGGAGAGGTAAACGCCAGCGATATGCAGCATACAGTTCATATACTTTTCGTAACGTGGATTTGACGGCGCCTTATAGAGGACGCGGGTGAGCTGACTCAAAAGTGAAGACAAGCAGCTGCAGACTGAACTCTTGCCGCCAGGCCACCTTCTCCTTAGAAACTAGGAGGAGAAATAAAGGCGCGTTGCCGAATGCAGGGCGAGGAGGGAGAGAAGAGCCAGAGAAGGTATATCACACGCACTCCCACTCCCGCCACAGGAGAGGCGTGCGCCGCGGTGCAGTTCAGCGAGCAGGTCAGCGCTTCAAGGTCCTGCGCTGGCTGACTGACAGTTTGCTCTCGCCGGGCTGAGTGGCCTGAGCATTTCATGTGTAAACCAGAGCTGGTCTGGCTAGTTTCAGATGTCACGGCGAGGAGGCTGGCAGGCGGAGAGCAGCCGCTGCAGATGCGCTCCGACACTCGCGGACCCCGCGGCCAACGCAGCAACGCGAAAGGCCTGCTCAGGCAACCGGAAGAGGTGACAAAACGCATCAGGTAACCCTGCCTTTCCGGATGGTTCCCACCCTCTCCTGTCACTGAGGCCTTCACGTCAGACCATAATGGCCACTGAAAGTGACAGGCGCCTTTTTTTTTTCGTGGCAAGACGTGTGCGGCGGGGACGTTTAGCTGGTCGGTAACTGGTGCAGCAGATGCCAACCGGTGGCTACGAGTGAGAGAAAACAGAGCTGTAAATATTGATATTGTAATGAGGCTGTGCTTCGAGGTCACTAATGCAATTAGGTGTTGTTGTGCGCTATGGACAGATGTCAGCAGAGAAAGGGCCGCAAAGCTCGTTAGTGGCTGTTGATAGAAATAGGATCACATCTATAGTTACATACGTAGCAATTTTAGGTTCATTTTGGCCGAGAGAACCAAGTCAATAACACTATTCATTATTCAACACCAGGGATGGGAATCTCTTGGCACCTCACGATTCGATTCGATTCCGATTATCGATTCTAAAGCGATTATCGATTCTAAAGCGATTATCGATTCTAAACTGCTAAAACGAAAAATCTCGATTTTCTAAATTTTCTCAAATCTGAGTTTGCTACTCAGAGGTTGCTAATCACTTCCTACTTTATTTGATAATTAAAGAAAACCAACAGATGAATTACCTTCTCTAATTTTTTATAAGAGAAAAAAAAAATCTTGACAAATATGATTTTCTATCAACAATGCAAGAATCAATGCAGCTTGCATTTCAACACAATATGGAAGTAGCCTATGTAAAAAAAATATTAAACAGATTACTTTTTTTTTTAAATGAAGAAAAAGCTGCTCTTAGTCTCAGACCGGTCCGTATTTGTAAAATACCGGAAAAAAGTCCAGATCTGTGAATATCTTGCCAACTTTCAATACGGATCGATTTTTGGAAAATGGAAATAATGAGGTAAGATATGCGCAGGCTCCGTCATAGTTCGGTAAAGTTGGCAAGATATTCAGATTCAGACTGACGGACCGGTCTGCGAGCTGGACGCATTGCTCTTAATGTGCCGGTAATGATGGTAAATGATGGTTGTAGCTGGTTGTCATCTACGCTCCACTACGGTTACCGAAGGGGGGCGTTTGTTTTTTGACAACGTTTTATCTCATAATTTCGACTTTCCATCCCCTTACATTAGTGCGGAAATGGGATTCTGTTGTGTGAATGCATCACTCCAGCCAATCCAAAGACGGGGTTTGTAACCAATCAGGTGTAGAGACCATGGTGACTGGCTCCGCCCCCTTACTGTCAAAAAGAAAAACAGCGAGCGCGTAGAAAACACCTTCGAGCGCGAGCAGAGACTAACCTCGTGAGCGAGGAAGTTCACGCTCCGCGAGCGAGCAAATATCTCGCGCGAGACAGACTTTATTTTTTATTCCGATTATTAACTTTTCTGAATCGAGACCGAATCGTTCTAGAGAATCGAGAGAAATCGAAAAATCCCCCAACCCCGATTCAACACTACTGAATTTAAATTAAACCTGAGACTTCCGAATGTGGCTTAAACATCCAACAGTGGAAGTATTGTTAAAGGATAGAACTTCTTGTGTAAAAAAGTTTAACAAGCTTCATTGTAATGAATGTCTTTAAATATAATATTTGAGTAACTGTCACATAACATGTTCAACGTTCAGCCTGCACATGTTAACTTTGGGGCGCCATAATAATATAATAATAATAATAAACCACGACAATATTCAAATGTCACTTTTTCAAACATTTAGTCATGTCATCTAATAACTTTTCCAAGATAATTGGCAGTAACAGAAAATAACATTTAGTATTTAGCATTTGATATTTGTATTTAGCATTTAAATTTATATGAAATATTTACAACAACTTTGTTAAACAAACATTATCCTTGCAAAAGTGATTGCATGAATTTATTTTTTACATGAACAATAAATGTTTGAAAAAGTGATATAATAAATAAAACTGAGCAGGATTTTAGAAGGTGCCACATTTTACAAACGCCGCCCAATAGTTAACCCCATCACTTATCCATCCCAAAGTCCAGGGACTCACTATCCAACATTGTGCTGGTTGATTATAGGGAAACGTTTCTGACATGATGATTGCACGTTTCTATTAACCAAACTGCTCATGTCCCACGATTATGTTTTGAGTGACAAAACGTAATCGTGTGTTTGCGAACTTTGACATCAGCAGAGGAGCCGAGGTAAAGTTGAGCTTATTAATATACAATAAGAGGCTGTTACAATGATTACTAGCTTAACCGTAAAATAACAGCAAATCACTGCTGCCAGTGCCCTTATTTTACTGTGGAATAATTTCGAGAGATAGCTCCAAACGGAGCTGTGGGAAGTCTAAGTGGTACCATTTGAGCCGGCCGAAGAAGTGATGATGCACTCTGCTTATCTGCTGCAGGCTGTAGAGCTCCAGGCTACATCAGCCGCAGCTAGCACAACACATCCAAGCCTGTGGTCCAGTTGCACTGTGGGTAACGCGGGCGCTGGGTTTGACGAGGAAGAAGGATGAGGTGGATTCAAAGAAACTCTGGTCCTGGACCTTTATCTGCAGTGATAGTATTTTTAAGCAATACGGTACTCAAGGCGCTACTGTATTGTCAATAATGTACTAGGGCGTTGTTCACAGGAAACACTTGAACAGTACATTATTGATGATACAGTAGTGCCTCGGGTAGCTTATTGCTTTTATTATTGCCAGCGACATTATAAATAGTAAGTAAATAGCAGTAAATGAACAGGCTTAAACTAGAATGAGTTCTTGTGGCGTTTTTGTAAGCACACACTGAGTGTGATGAATATGTACATGAGATGCTACAACAGATTCTGATGGGAGTGTTGGTTATTGACCACTCCTATCCCATAATAGAACTGACAAAAAGCCCGAGCAGAAAAATATTCTTCTCAGAGCTGAGAGGGGGATTTAGGAGAGGGCTTCGTTTTCCCAAAGAGATTTAGTCATTTGTCATTTTAGATCAAATCTCCAAACAGCACTGAGCATGCACAGCAGAAAATAAAGACGTGGGGGGATTTTAGATGATAATTAGCTGCAGTTTTGTTCTCTCAGCAGACATGGTTGAGTCTGCTACAGGGGGATTACATGCTGAAGCAGGGTGGGGGGAAGGAGGGGGGAGGGAGGGGTGACAGGGTGGCATGCAAAGTCCAGTCATTAATCCTGTCGGCTTCTTGAAATATCACATCACAGCCAGGGCGGCGGCCGCCAGCCAATCCCCTCCGCTATTGCAATTGGTGACATTACACTGAAATATTTAACACTTGTGCGCTCCGTGCTTTTTAATGCGCCGAAGCATATTTTGTGTAGTGCTTAGGAATATTAAAGCATCATTTATATTTCAGGAGTTTGACACTTTGACATTTTGGCACCTCTGTTTTGAATTTCAGCATGCGGTTTGACATGTTTGTATTAATAACATTGTGATCTCAGAGGGCCACGGCCTCAGGCTACTTGAACAAGACTACTAAAGAAAGGGATTTCAAAAGGAATCGCAGAGCAGCCCAGGGACTCGTCAAAATCAGCCCTCATACTGTTGCCCTGATAAAAATCCATTACCCGCAAATGTGAGGGGGGGGTAGTTTGTGTGTGTGTGGGTGAGAGAGGGAAAGGGAGAGAGGGAGATGTGCCTGTGAGTTTTTTATATGTTGTGTCGGGCCTCATTTTATCCACTGTAGACTCTCCCCCTCCGGCCTGGTCACATCCTCTGTACCGTTATTCACACACTTTTCTCATGAAGAAATCCTTTTAAACTAAAGACATACACGTCTCTGTGGGTGTCACACTAAACATCCGTTATTTTTTTCCAATCTACGTCCACTTAAGTTCTGGCCTTTGTCATTGAAATTGTAAAATTGCATTTCCCAAAATGTTTGTGAGAGAAGCTGCTCTTCAGGACCAAAGTGAGAAGAAGATTTTTTGCAGGATTGGAGAGATCTTTTTTCTCTAATGTTCTACGGACATCCACCCTATACAGTAATTGTCAATATATTTCCCTTTATTGAAAACCAAAAATATCAACATCTCGTGGTTAAGGACAAACATTCAGCACCAAAGTCATCAGGATTCATCAATGCTGGATTATGATCATATGTACAACAATTTCATGGATATTTCCAACAATTTCACAGCCTGGACCAACACTGTGGGCCGAGTGGCGCGGTTAAAAGCTTTCAAATAATCACTAGTTCTATGTGAAAATGCACTGCATGAATATGGAGAACATTAATGCAAATGTTTTCCCTGACAGCTACACACACCTGGCCTGCTGTAAATGATCCAAAATGATCTGAATAAATCAGGATAGCACACTCGTAAAGGGGATGTTATTGAACAGACAGCATAAAAACGTATAATGTTTACTATGAGCTAACATTCACGCTAGCGGCTGTGGCTAACCCCTTTCTGTGTTAGCTAGTGCGCGTCATCTTAGCTACATTAGCAGCCTCCTCGTATCCCTCCTGCCACGTTTTGTCCTTTGGTTGGTTCTTCAGGCAGAAAGCCACTGACACCTTGTTTCCCTCACCACATATGTTGGGCAGGAGTGTGCAAGCAGCTAACAACGCCGCTCCACCGTGACGGAGACGTAGCGCCCGGCCTCCACTTCCCCTTGAAGTAGACACTGTGAGCACTTTAGCCCTAGCCGGCACGGTTGGTGGCGACGAGCCGCCGGTTTTCACGTCAACGGGACGAGAGCCATTGAGAGAAAACCTTGTACCTTTTTATTAGATATTATTTCTGCCTCAGACGAGTATAAAACCTCAGTCCTCCTTCAGTTGTTAATCCAGATACTTTCACTTTACCATTACGTGATTGTTATCCAGTTACTGGCAACGGGTATGTAGGCGGCGCTGGTCCTGTAAAACGACTTGATCCGAAAGATGAAACATAAGAATTAATATGCAGTTAGTACTAGACAGAGTGTAACACAACACATAGGAGCAGAGGGGAGTGCCAGTCAATCATTATTGGGTTATCGCCCTGAAGTTGTGGGGATATGCACTCTACACGTCAATTAAATAGCATCAGACATTGCTCTGCCAGACACCTCTGGAGTGACATTCATCACCCAGACATGCGATACCTTCTTGGGCCAACTGGCTATCGGACAGAGGTGAACATACTAATAGGATTTCTGGATGACTTTATAATCACAAGAAAGCTAATTCGCCTTATTAAAAGTTAGATAGAGTGAAGCTGTTCAGCTTTACATTTTAATCGATAATTAAATTCATTTTATTCACAGTTCACGTTTCACCCTTTAATTTTTGTATTGTAAAAAATTGGAATATATGGAGCTCCATGGAGGTCATTCTTAAATTAACTGTATTTACTGTATTTCATAAATAATTGGCATATAGCATTTTGAAATTAAAATACAATTTGAACTCTACAAAAGGTGCTGTAAAAAACAAGTACAATAGATCTGAATGGACCTGCATGAAATATTTCATAACTCAAACTATAATGGTAACTAAATAGAGCCTTTGGTGTCGGATTGAGTACTGAGCCTTTTGTTCGTGCGTTCTTCACGGGCACGTGAGGAAAAGACGTGGGGCGAAGATGTGGCCACGTGAGGTGAAAGGAGGCCGTTCAGGTCCCACTTAGCCGGGCCGACCACCCACATGAACCGCCGCTGGGCTGTGGCTATGACGAACAGCTCATTTTAGGCCTTCCCATAGTACATACATTTCCGCAATATGTGTAAAAAATGTGTCCTCCAACACGATACATAACCATGACTTTCTCATGAAGGAAATCTTCCATATCCAGTTTTTCTCTCACTATTCACATGGTGTCCCGTCTTCATGCCTATAATCTGATAGATCTCAAACTCAGATGTTCTTGTTCTCATTTTGATCATGTGTGCTGCTCTCTTTCCTGCTGACTGACCACCCGCTGAATGTGAAACCCCGGGGGGTCTCAGGAGGGTCACGACCATCTGCCCGGTTCTCCATCGCTGCACAAAGCGTCCGTGCTCCGCCCGATTGTGTCTCGTGGTTGTTTCTCTCTGCGTCTCTGCGCTGCACTGAATTGTTAATGATTTACAAATCTCCCACACGAGACAAAACATAGACCAGCTCACCGCGCTGTCCGCCCACACGGCGACTCGGGGCGCCGGGCCTAAAGTCCAGCTTACGCTCCGCACTAACTTTTTCCCACTCTCCAACAGATTAACTCGCTCTCTTCTCGAGGCAGCACCTTTAACCCATGGGGGGGCGGGGGGGACGTCAAAATCCAGCCTTACAGTCAGGACACAGGCTCTGGATATTGAAAACATAGATTGGTTTAATTGAATTTCCACTGTCCTCCAGTCCAAGTCACCAGAGTAGGGATAATTCCCTTATCCACATCAATGCAGGCCCTCCGCTGGGCTCAGTGAAAGGGGCTGTGGACCTGCTGTTTGCTGGCAGGATCTGCCACAATCACTTACACAAGCCCTGTTAAATACCCCCGCGATTTCCTGCCTCTGCTCAACCTGCACTTATGCCGAACTAAGTTAAAAGGAACCAAACAGCAGAAGCGGAGACAAATTACCGTGGATCATAGTCCGACTACAGTGCAATTTGGTGTCCCAAAATGGCTTAAGCTGGCTGAAGTAATGCCACGGGATGCTGGACTTGATGTGAGGGGGGCAGCCCCCTGACCCCCCACGGATGTGGCTGGCTCCTTCTTTCATCCTGCCCGCTCACCCAAGTGTCTCTTCTGGACCTCGTCTGATCCCAACTCTATATATGCACATTTTGTTCAGCAAGATAATCTTTTACGAAATTTGTGTTTTTGCGAAATAATGAATTTAATTGGCGAGAGTAAAAAGTACTTTATGTTCTCGGTCAGTCAGCTACTCATTTGCAGCTGCTTTCTTTATATTGAAGAAAAAACGACTTCTAAGTCTCCCTTTTTCTACAACTCTCACCACAGGCGATACAACATGCCTCGCCAGCATGATCAGACAACGCAATAAAGTGAAGCTGGAACCAAGTAGCAGTGCGGTACACAGGGAGCCACAGGACAACAGGCAGGTAGGAACGAATATTCTGCCAGCAATGAAACTCACTTAGATACAACAGTGTGTGTGGAATAGTTTTTAATGCCTCCATTTATTAACCCAGCATCAATGTTCTCCAATTACCAATACCTTTTCTTTAAACCGAACACATGTTTGGCCTTTTGTTTGTGCTTTCTTAAATTGTAGTCTCGAACAGGGTGGAGATGCAACTACGGTTTTTACTTGTAAAGATATTGAATCTCTGTGGCTCGGTTTGTTTAAATAAACAGAATAGAACAAATGTCTGATCTTTTAAGTCCGGTAATTCAAATGCATTAAACCATATACTGTATGTTCTGTTCAATAAGTTTAAATTCCTTGGTTTTCAGTTTGTGGTTGAACACTTTGATTCAAGTTTTCATTTGACCAGATCTCATCTGTTGATAAATCTTTCACAGTAAAACCTATCTGAGAAAAATAAATGCCAGTAATAGAATGTTTTGAGCTGTGGCCGTTTGAAACTTTTATTTATAATTCCAAAGAGTTCTCTGTCAAAAGCCAATTCACTGTATGTCACAGTTCTTTCCCACAAACCAATGGAGGGTCTTTGTTTGGCCAACGTTGTAAAAGTGCCACGTCTAACAAGTTTCTATGAAGCAGTGTCTCTCGTTGGATATGCTATCGTCTCTGCTGTGCGAGATGATTTCTCTCTTTGTCGGCGCTGTATAGAGGCAGGTTTAAGTGCCTTGGTGGAACTCCTATTCACCCCCGTGTTCAGCACTCTCCCATGGCCTCTTCTCCATTTCCAGTGCCCAGAAAAAAAGATGTCATTGTGAACCTTGACCCCGCCCTGATCCACATCCACTCTCCACCAGGAAGCCGAGCACATGCCTGAACAATCAACTCCGGCGCTGCCATCAATTTTGCACAGAGCGAAGAAAAGATGAATCACCCAGGTTCAGGCAAAAGAGAGATGGGTAAAAACATGAGGATAAAAGGCTTTTCCTATGAAAGTGAGAGCGAAAAACATGTTTTTTAGTCCCTGAAAAGTAACTGTCACAGGAGTGACAAGGAGGCACTATTAAGAGCCTCCGCTCATTCAGCCGGTTTGTCTGAACTGTTCAACAAACAATTACAGGGAGTCATGGGGGTTATGTTTATCTGGAGACCTGGCCTGTGAGGAGCTGCCTTAAAAGCCACGGTGAATTTAAGAGGCAAGTACGTCTGCTTCATAAACCTGTGATTTTTGCCTGGATATTGATTTCTGTTTGACGCAGGAGTCTACGGTCAGCAGGAGGCTGATGGCAACGTGTCCTGCTTTCTGTGCAGGTCACACTGAAGAACTACACCGAAGAATCTCGCTCATATTGGCCCTGTGTTAGATAAATGAAATATAGCCAGTTAAAGCATCTGGTGCAAAAGATGTTTACAGTGCAGCAGTGCATCGTGGGACCGACGCATGGCTTCCTTCAGCCTTTATCATGGCGCCCGTGCCAATCAGTGATTGGTCACAAGTACATATTCGCACATCAATTATTTCATTTTAATGTTTGATTTTTTTTAATAAACGGTGGCTATACAGCAGGGCAGAGTGGTGACGGGGTGTTTAGCACTGGTTCGAAAGCACTGAGCGGTTCCTCCGTGTGGTGTTTGCATGTTCTCCCCGTGTCTGTTTACTTCCTCACGCAGACCCCAAACATGCTCTGGGGGTTAAGTTCATTGGTGACTCTGAATGTGAGAGTAAATGCTCGTGTGTCTCTGTGTCAGCCCTGCGATTGACTGGTAACCAGTCCAGTGTTTAGCCCGTCTCGCACCCCATGTTATCTGGGATTGACTCGTCGCCCGGTGACGCTGTGAGGATAAGTGGCAGCTTTAGAAAATAACTGAATAGGTGTGTATAATTACCTGTATTGGGTCTGTGCTTACAAAAGGCTGTGAGTGTATTCATAGAAATCCATGTAACGCTTTCATAAAAACGTTGGGTCATCGCCTTTAAAGGATTAATAGTAGACCAGCACACAGATTATTATTGCATATGCATTTATCGTGGAAAGGTAATAGAAATAACAGCAATTTAATGGTGGTGGAGGTATTCCTTATTCTTTTGAAAAGTAAACTGAGGCTTTTCCTCCGCCGTGTAGTGCACGGCTTAATGTGTACTCGGCATTATGCAAAGCATGTACTCTACCTCTAAAACTGGTGGACAAAGGTGCACGCTATAATTGTACCACGTGAACAAAGCCACGTTCTCGTTGACATTAATCCAGATATTGGGAAAAAGAAAGATATTTCTTATAGCAAACTCAATCTACTAAATGAACTCAGCATTGAGCTCAGCTCCTAATAAGCTCACTTTCCTGGCTTTATTTTTTTTAATCGATTTGTTGGATCATTTACTTTTGAAGGCCAGTCTAACAGTTGTTGCAGATGCAGCTAATGATGATACTGGCCCAGTTGGTACCTACACCCCGCAGCTTTTCCAGCTCAGCCCTTCCCCCACCCACCTCACCCTTTGTTCTCCCTTGACCCCCCCCACCCCGCCCCACCCCACCTGCCAATTAATGCCAATCAGGCCAGCGGTGGGCTGATGTGGTGGGGGGTATTGGGACCGGGACCACCTGGCTCTGGCTCACAGCTGGCTTCCCCTCCCTCACCTGTCAGGACCGGGCCTCTGACAACGCACCCCGACAACCCCGGCCCGCCAAACCCGCGTCCGCTTGGGTTGTCGCACAATTTCTATGTGTTACCTTTTGATTTCTACATGTCCGTTGTGAGATGTGTGAGACCATCGTGGCCAGTTGTCTTTTTAGTGGGTTTAATAAGGTTAGTTACATTAAATGTTTACAGAAATGGTTTTATTTATAGCCTGATATCTATTATCTACTATCGGTCTAATCTCACCGTGCTATCTTGGTTATTTTTCCGGCCAATGAACACTTTACCAGTTTAGAGGATTGGATGTTGTATAATAATCACAAGCGATGTATTTGAATTCATCACTGTAATATCAGCGCCGAAGTATAGATGTTTTGTAAATAATCATGTGGAAAAGACTTTAGCACAAAGGCGCAGGTGGAAGACGTTGGCGGGCAAATGCGGCACTTTATTGACTGTGGGGCAATTTCGCTTCAAACCTTTTTCCGACCGGCACCAATGCAAACTCCCAACGGCAGCAGACAGTCGGCTCTTTCGATAAAAGATTTGAATACATTTACGCTGAATCATGAAGATAACAGCTAAAGGATCTGAGCAGAAGCACACAGGCTTTGATTCCACGGCCCAGCCACCACTTCTTCACGTCCGTGCTGTCCACGAAAAGGCAACACAAGTACTCACCAGGCAGGCAGGCGGGGTGGAGGAAAACCCCCGGTAGGTCAGGAAGTGGAGTACAGGTTGGCAACAGAAAGGCCGGTCAAACAGTCACAACGGGGGAGCAGCTTGCTTCTGTAGTCAAACAGAAAACAGTGTTTAAGAAATCATGGAAAAGGCCTTCTTAGTCTGTTTTGTGTATTTATCTGAGGGAGGCGAAATTCATTGGTTCACACGGATCGGATATTTCACATGCTGCTGAATGCAAAAAATATTCTTTTATTTCTTTTTTAGGATCTTTTTTTTTGTATTAATTCAATTAAAAAACCTAAAGCTTCACACACAGGGTAAGCAAACTATATGCTTTCCCCGTTTTACAGGTACACTTATGTAAAGTTTATAACATGCCTGTCACCTAGGAGACAAGTGTCAACCATGATCTGTATGTAACAAAACTATTATTGGAACCAAAACAACAAACCACCAATAGTCTAAGCCTTCCCGAAGGTGATTCACATATATACTATATATATATATAATATATATATATATATAACTAAAGTAGTTTGCTTGCTTAATCCTAACTTATTTCTTTAAAGACTGTGTGTATGTGACGAGTGGGAATTGACGTGCGATCGATACGTTGCTGAACACATGAGGAATAACTTTAAGTAAGATTTGAGGATACGTTGTCTTAGCGCCTCCAAATTAGCCTTCGGCGTTTGTGACGTTCACTGCAATACTTGTTCTGTGGAATACAAAGTCCCCCAAAAAAGGCAGCATTTCCTCCTGTTTCAGTAACCCACTGATTGTAGAAAATGATTTAGATAAAAGATTTACGTGTTCAGCGGAGGACCCCTGTGTTTGAGCCACTGAAAGGATAAGACGGACACATTAAATACATTAGACATGTTTTTTTTAATGGAATTTATGATAAACACAGAATTACTGCAGTTTCGACAGCCATAGAGCGGCTTATTTCAAATACCTGACGAAGTTATAATATTCCGTATCATAAAGTCATCATATGTCATATTGTCTGTGTGTGCATGTTTGCATTTGTGAACGCCGTCCCAGCGCCTCACCATCACTGTCCTCTTTCAGACCTCCAGATCCTTCTAGAAATGGCGCCTGATCTCACTGTTAAATAATGCATCCACAATTCTTCTTTTTGTAATGTAAAAAAGCTGGCTTTTAGCAGCGTTAGTGGGACAGTAATGCCACCTGACAATCGTTCCCACAAGTCCTGACTGTGGCCTCCAGGAGAGGAGTCGGGCTCCTTGTGATTGACAAGGACAAAAAGAGGAGTCCCACTTCGGTTTTTGAATTGTCAGCCCCGGCCGTGGGATTTGAGAGTGAAGGATGAAACCGTGACTTTGACTACAAGAAGCAAAGACGTTAAACATGACAAGTGTGATTACAATATCCGTGGAGCGTCATTTAGGGCGCCGCGGTGAGAGACAGTCTCAACAAGACGTTCAATTATTCATAACACCGGGGAGAACGGCTACTTTCAAGGCCAAACAGCTTACGAGAGGCATTCTGGGATACTGCAGCAGCACCAGCGCCGCCACTTACACCTGCGGTTACAATGAAACAATTTCATATGAATGGTTTGCCACTTTATCAAGAGCCCAGCTATTCGAAGCTCCCCTGTCATAAACACTGATGAATACACACCCCGCTGGTTCCGTTCTCAGCTCTATTATTAGGTTTCATGGTTATTATGCCTCACTTATGGGAAAAAAAAAAACTTCAGTGGACGGTTCGGAATGTAAAGCGACGGGGCCTTCGTATTTAGCAGCGTTAAATAATTACCACACTAAATACCGTAGAGTCATTTTTTTGAACACTACATACATTCTTCAAGCTATTTGAGTATTTTAACGCGTAAAAACTCCAGAAGAAGCCGGAAGTGTGGCTCTTAATGAAGATAAAAGTCCTGATGCCTGTTCATGGGTGCTGGGGCCCATCCCAGGGCCATGACTATGGTGGTTCTCTAATTGTTCATATTTAATCAACTTCAGTCACCCAGAGTACCTGCAAAACCGGTACTCGATTCTGATTATCGATCAGATATCGGATACAGATCATGTCTTCTTCATGAAGCTTGGCCTCTCGGTAGTGAATACTTGTGGGGGAAGAGTTGTGAATGCTGGACTGCAAACCTTATTTTGACATTGCACTTTTAAGTTCCACTTAAGTTACTGTGGAACTGAACCAGACTAAAATGAAAACTACACGAAAGCATCATCGTGGCTCTGTTTAGAGAACGCTGCTAAACAAAGAGACGAAAGGCTGTTTAAACAAAACAATAACAGTACAAATGTTCTGTCATGATCGTATTATTGTTCAATTTCCAAGTGTGACTTATTATCCCCGTCTGGCGTTGGACATTAGAGTCCTCTTCCCACACACACACACACACACACACACACACACACACACACACACACACACACACACACGCACACACACACACGCACGCAGCATGCTGCGGCTGCAGCGGCAGCAGACATGAACAGTATCAGTGGTGTAGTCGCACACGGCTGCAGCGAGCAGCATCACAGACAGACATCCACACCAGATGCCGCGTGCCCCGGGCTCAGAGGCATCACTGCGAGGGGGAACGCCAGCGCGGGGAAATAAGCACCTGTCATGTGCCAACTGAAGTGTTAAGTGCACAAATTGTGGAGGCGAGGGTGATGTTTTCCGCAGGGGTGACAGCTCTGGGTCTGGGTGCCATTTCGGGGCCTGGCATATCATGCAGAGCCCCCCCCCCACCACCACCACCAGACTCCCCCTCGCCCCTCCAGCCCACCCCCGGTCTTAAGCTTGCCGAGAGGCACAATGGCAACTATTATTTACTGAATGTCTGCCTCATTTCCTCATATTCATCTTGGCTGGCCATCTAAGGGGCCACGGGGGGGCGCGTGTTGCAACCCCCCCCACCCTCCCCCATGTCATTGCTGAGGGGCGGCAGTGGCAAAATAATCTCCGGCGAGCATTTAGATCATTTATTCAGAGCGCCGGGTGTCAGCCGCAAACCAAATGGCGGAGGGTTTGTGGGCCGGGGTCCTCTTCCCCCCCCCCGTCAGGTTGGACAGGAACGCGAGGCGTGGAAGGTGCATCGGGCCGGGTGTCAGAAGGCCTCTCCGCAAACTAACACTAATGCCACGCGAAGGTCCTTCTGTGAACAGTGTGAACGTGCAAAATGTATGATAAATTGAGCGTGCCAGGGGGCCTTTATGGCTGTGAAGTGTTGTGGCTGGTCGCAGGCATTGTTATGACTGTGGCTATTTAGGATCATGGGAGTTGACAGTTGCACCACTGGCAGCCACAGAGAGCCAGATTCATCGGGGTTTTCGTGCACCAATGAGCAGCAGTCACAGTGCAAGAGAGGAACACACAGTTTTGGAGCATTTCGGAATTCGACAGAACTTCAAGGACACGATAAAGCCCGGTGGCTTGGTTCTAATGCTATTAGCTTAAAAGCCTCGTCCAACAGATGACAGCACCTCAGAAATACCTTCTCTCCATCTGGCCACCTGTTGTCAAGGTGTTACTAGCTGAGAGGTGAACAAAAGAATAAGTGGATGTAGTCAGAGACAGATAGAAGGCAGCTAATGGTGTTGGACTAATGGTTTCCTGATGTTGAAATAGCGGAACATGACACTGTCAGCAGTACACCAACATCTGCAGGAGACAGAGGAGAAGCATGTGAGCGTGTGCACGGGAGTCTTGGATCTGTCCTCTGCTGCTCCCCAAAGGACCAACGCAACAAGGTGCGAAACGGCATCATGGCTGTTTACTACGAAGACATGGGAGGTTTTATTTTTTACTCCTGAATAAATAACGGACCTGTCTTAGTATTAAATGAAACATTGCTAGAGAAGCATAGATCGATCCAGTCACATGTCCATGGTTGTGTTCTGCTGCCACCTGCTGGAAATACCATAAAGCACAGCCGTCTCAGAAAGGCTCTAGTCTGAGGTTAAATAAAAAAACAATAACTACAATAAGAAAGGCATGAACTAAAAATAAATACAGCAATATAATAATGAATAAAGAAACAGTAAAATGAACACACCTCTGAGAATGACTAAACTGTTGTTTATACCAACTATTTCTTGTAGAAAGCAAGCACTAAAGTTGGTTGGAAATTTAAGTTTAAACAAATGAATTAAGGCCAACAACGTTTTATTAAACGCTGGCTGTGGGCGGCAGTGTTCAATGTGAGCGCTAAAACAAATAAATGAAGAGTCTAGTCGTAGTGACATGAGGTCATGAGGTCTTTGTCCCCTAACCTCAGTCCAGCAGAACACGTGTGTCACTTTGCAAATATCTGATCGTTGAATAATGTCTTGTCTACTAAGTTTCAAGGACTTTATTTACTAGCAAAAAACAAAGCTTCTGCCCGTCATTGCTCCATGTAGTTCCGAAGGAGAGTTCTTAAATGGATTTCTTCTGGAACGCCATATCATAAGGGGATGATTCTATACACTGTTCTAAACTGACCGACTGGCATTTCGGAACAAAACAAGATGGTGTTTCGTGCTCATCGTAACATTCGTGATGAGTAAAATTTTCATGGAGAGACACGGGTACACCTTCATCAGCAACCTGGGCGAAGGCGTGTTTGGCAAGGTTGTGAGTGCCTATTCAACCAAGCTGAGGAAAAGGGTTGCCATCAAGATTATAGACAGAAAAAAGTTTACTTCCGTTGCCTTGGAAACGTTTCTGCGTCGGGAAATGGAGATTATTAAGCCTTTGAACCACCCCAACATTGTCAGGACTCTTGATATCTTCAAATGGCACACGAGCAAGGTATACTTCCTTGCATCTTAGTGAGAGTTGCTGCACTTTAAATGGTCTATTTTGTATTCCCACCTTCAATATAAATGGTTGTTAAAGAAACAGCTATTTTTCCACAAAGATAAAGATAAAGATATCCACAAGTCAACACCATTGTCACTTTGGTACCGAGTTATAGAATTAAGAATATTGAGCATGTACTACACTTAGTCCACTGTTTTGGAAACTCAAGAAACCATGTCCCGGTTTGCCATGCATGGTTTCCACGTGGATGACGCCGAAGGCTGAAAAATAATTCATAATATGTTTATAACGCATTATCTTAAAATAAAGACTACCCAGAATGTGGCATAGTGAGTGAAGTAACTTCATGTTTTAATAATTGTGAGACGGTTTGAAACAGCATTCACTTGGAAGATTTGTTGTGGTATAATTGGAGGATGGGCAGTAGGTGGCTGCAGTTGGTCTATTAATAATAATAATAATTTACAACTCGGTGGGGCATAAAGCATTAATCTTTTGGGCAAACATCAATGTCAACCTGCCAGTTTGATTGCGTGAGGAAATCAGGATGTTACACAGATGAATACAGGAAACCAAAGAGCCATCGCCATCTGTTGCAACACACAAAATTGCACTAATAGTCCATTTACCATTTCCTCTTACTCTTGTACCTGTAGGTCTATGTGGTGATGGATTTATGTGTGAAAGGAGACCTCCTAAAGCATATCAACGCAGAGGGGGCCCTACCTGAAGATTCAGCCTGTAGGCTTTTCACACAGCTGTGCAATGCGGTCCAATATCTTCACAAGAGTGACGTGGCTCACAGAGACCTTAAATGTGAAAACATGCTGCTGGACACACATTTCAACCTCAGAGTGTGTGACTTTGGGTTCAGCAAGAAGCTTACTTATGCAGATGGGCGTATGATACTGAGTAAAACCTTCTGTGGCACCTCCTCGTATGCAGCACCTGAGATTCTGAGAAGTTTACCATACAACCCCAAAGTGTCTGATGTGTGGAGCATGGGTGTCATACTGTTTATGATGCTCTTTGCTTCAATGCCCTTTGACGACACCAGCATTAGGAGGATGTCGAGAATGCAAATTCAGCATGAAATCAACTTCCCCACCATTAGGTCTGTTTCATCTGACGCAAAGGACCTCATCCATAGGATTCTGCACCCTGTTGTGGAGGACCGAATTACAATCAGCAACATTGAACAGAGTTCCTGGATGTTGCAGGACATGAGGTTGGAGGACAATGAGGTGGCCACCACATCAAACGCCAGCACTGAAAAGGAAGGACGTCCAGACGAAAAGGGCAAAGAGGAAGAGAAACTTTCAAAAGCCAACGGAGAACCGTTGGACGGACCGTCGCCTGCTGCCGCAAGACACTGACATGACATTGAAAATCAGTGGCTGACTAAACTTGAAATAAATACATGCACTAGCACTGTTTTTGTGTTTTTAAAGCAACTGGCAGTGAAGACTGTTATTATCCTCAGACTTTATAGCTTAATGATTTAAATTCATAAAAATGCTTTTTGTTTCTGCTCGTCCCTGTGGGTTGATGTTTCCGCAACACTGAAAAGTATTTTATAGTGACTTTTTGACGTGTATCTTGTTATTTTTTGTGACATACAAAGACAACATTTTTGATGTACTATGACGCAATAACTTTTATTTATATACCGTTGTATCGGTAGGTAGAAGCTCCAAACATTCCCCATGCAACTGGCGCTTTTTGAAAACCCGTCTGCCCTTTTCCGCTCTCTGTGTGCAGGTGGCTGGGCACAAGACTACCCGTGACTTTGGAGCGACCCGGATGTACCTGAGGGGAAGACGGGCTGCGGTAAAAGTGTAACCCTCAAACAGATCACTTGATGGTCGGCATGGAGGCCAGTCGCGCACCTACTGCAGGGCATGCAGGGCGCCTGGCTGGAAACGGGTCCGCCTGGCCGGCCGAACTTCCTGACCTCTGCACCGCAGTCAAGGAACATGTAAGATTAGCGGTCTTATCCGTGTTTCTCCAACATCAAATGCGTGGTCCGTGATCTGAAGCAGTTACGAGGCCAGCTGGACGCAGTCGTTGATGACCGGCTCCCAAGAGCGCCAGAGGTCTACAAAGCTGGAGACACTAAAGACATTTTGAGCTGCTTCAAGAAAGATGTATGAAGAATTCCTTCTGCTCTAAGTTCAGTGCCCTGTCTCAAGATATCAGAAGACTCCTGTGAGAACTTCAGTCCGTCCCAGATAGTTTTGTCGATACTGCTACAGGCTCTTTGAGAGTGCTTCTGGACGCTATTGCTCCTCTCGAAAGAAGAATAGCAACAAGAAGGAAGTCTGCTCCTTGGTATAACCCTCAAATGAGCCAAATCAGAAGGATCTAGGCTAGTTTGGCAAGACAGCCTTAAAACATATAAGAAGGCAACGCAAGAGCATCTTATTACTCATTATTAATAGAGAAAAATAAAAACAACTCCAGGTTTCTCTTCAGCACTGTAGCCAGACTGACAGAGAGTCACAGCCCTGTCGAGCCGTGTATTCCTTTGGACATCACTAGTAACGACTTCATGAATTTCTTCAATAATAAGATTCTGACTATCAAAGAGAAAATTGATGGTCTTCTGCCTTCAACCAGTGCTGACCTGTCCTCAGATGTAGGAACCTTGGATGCAGCAGTGGGCCCTGATGCCTGTTTGGATGCCTTCTGTTACATCAACTGACTTCAACTGACTTCTTTATTTTCAAAGTCTAAATCTTCTACTTGTCTCTTGGATCAGATTCCGACTGAGCTGCTTAAGGAAGTTTTTTCTTTAGTTAGCACATCCTTATTAGATATTATGAGTCTTTGTTGACAGGACATGTACCACAGTCCTTCAAGGTAGCTGTAATTAAACCTCTTCTTAAGAAACCTACTCTTGCTCCAGAGGTGTTGGCTAACTACAGACCTATCTCTAATCTTCCCTTCCTCTCTAACATCCTTGAGAAATCCGTTGCAAATCAATTATGTGACTTTCTACAAAACAATGCTTTGTTCGAGGATTTCCAGTCAGGAATTCAAGTAAATCATAGCACAGAAACAGCACTGGTGAAAATTGATCTTCTACTTGCATCGGACCAAGGACTCATCTCTTTTCTTGTCTTCCTGGACCTCAGAGCCGCATTTGATACCATAGACCGTTGTATCCTGTTGCAGAGACTAGAACATTTAATTGGTATCAAAGGAACTGCACTCAGCTGGTTTAAATCCTACTTATCGGATCGAACCCAGTTTGTGCTTGTAAACTGTGAATCCTCGAACACCACCAATGTTGGTCACGGAGTCCCACAAGGTTCTGTACTTGGACCGATTTTATTTACCCTCTATATGCTTCCTTTGGGCGATCTTATCAGGAAACACCGCATAAACTTCCATTGTTATGCAGACAATACTCAACTGTATCTGTCGATCCAACCAAAAGAGACCGACCAGCTAGTTAGACCTCAAGAATGTCTTGGAGACATCAAAACTTGGATGACCGGCAAGTTCCTGATGCTAAACTCTGTTAAAAAAGAAGTTATCTTGATAGGCCCAGAGCGCCTTCGAAGCCAGCTGTCACGTGATAGTTTTTATGGATGGAAATGCTCTGGTACCCAGCAGCACCGTCAGGAATCTGGGAGTTCTCTTCGACCAGGATATGACCTTCAACTCGCATATAAAGAAGACTTCAAGGACTGTCTATTTTCATCTACGTAACATATCAAAAATCAGGAACTTCCTGTCTCAAAGTGATGCAGAAAAAATAGTTCATGCGTTTGTCACTTCCAGTCTGGACTACTGTTATTCTTTGTTATCGGGCTGTTCTTGTAAATCTCTTAAGCCTCTCCAGTTGATTCAGAATGCTGCAGCACGTGTATTAACAAGAACTAAGAAAAGGGATCATATCACTCCTGCATTAACTTATCTGCACTGGCTCCCTGTTAAATCAAGAAGAGATTTTAAGGTACTTTGAGGTGTGAAAAGGCAAGGGGGTCTTGCATCTGCTTCGCTCTGAAAACGCAGAAGCATAAACTAGGCTTTAGGCCCAAGAGGTCAAAGGGCCCTGGTGATAAGAAATAACGTTGGTCAAATGCTGCAGTATAAGGAAAATATTCAGACATTTTGACTCTAAAATATTTTACATTTTTCTCACTATACAAGAACAATAAAGAAATTAATTCATTCTCTTTTCGTCATTGCCTCCTTGTTTGCTTTCATGTGACCCTTAGAGTGACCTCTGGAGCTGTGGATCGATCCCACCGTCAGGTCACCAAAGTCACAGGTCACATTTAGCCTGAGGACACTGGAGGAGTCACATGGTATCTCTGGAGGTGGACAGAATCTGCACAGAGGACAACTAGTAACCGTGTACTCCATAAATCTGGCCTTGATGACTTTGGGGGTTTTTAAGGTGATGAATTACATAATTTGGCTCCCATTCCTAAAACAGAATGAGTTCAACTGTGTTTTAGGGATTTAGGTTGTATTCACGCCTAAATGTTTTATGTCCATTCATGTGAATATTCGACAATGACAAGGTTTGTATATGCTTTACACAAAGGTGACACAAACAGCGATGTACCACCACTACTAAATACATTCAGGATAAACCCCAAAACAATACATAAATGCTCTAGCACTTACAGTTTGTAGTTTCAAATAGGGCCTCGTGACTCCAGGATGGCACTGGCACAGGCACTGCTGAGGCCATGGATTTGGATCCCACTTGGTGAACTGTCTTGTGGCCTTCTGGTGAATGAATGTCCTTGTTTCTGGGGGAACTGGACAGCTTATGTAAACAGGACAGAGATAAATCAGAATTAATAAGAGTGCATTGCTGACAGAATACAAAACTGAAACATGCTTTTCTGCCAGAAACATATTGAATATATATAGTGAATAAGGTTTTGTAATGAAAATCACAAGAGGGGATTTCAAAGTCAAAAATAAATAAATAAGACTAAGTGTTTATTGAACTAAACTACTGTATGTAATCATTTAAGAGGCTGTAATACCGTATTGTTTTGTCGATGTCTTTTATATAATATTATATTATACGTTTTTTTGTTTTAACATCTTTTGACAAATTACTGGCAACAAAGATCCCAGGATCAGTAGAGTTTATGGGGTAATCAAAGAAAGCGTCGTGTTGCTCATATTCTCTGTAAACTACATATGTGCTGTCATCAGACAAAACAATATTCATCACTAAAGCGACGCTGTTGCCTATTTTAACACAGTTTTCTGACTCACAACAGATGTTGACTGTTTAAACTACCTGCATTTTACTTTCTGTAAGTGATCACTGTTGAAATATAATTAGATAATCGTATTCCTAAACACAACAACCGCTGGCAGAACGTCTTTATGTCCGCAGCGGGACCACGATGTGTTACTCGCTCCCTCACAGCAGGATTACATTGGCTTTAAGTACATCTGTCAATACGTCAACGTCCTCCAGAGAAAATAAAGCGATTATCATGTAAAAGTTTGTGTTTTATAAAAATAAGTCATGCCAAATCCAAGTAGCCATCTGCTTGCTTAATGGCTTAACCCTCATTTCTGATTCACAAGTATAGAATTTTAACAAACTAACGTTAAATAAACGTGAGCTAACCGACGGTCATGGCACCGGGGGGTTTTAATAAGGGGGTTTGACTTAAAAGGAGAATCAGCTTTTAAAAGGAGAGCTTTCCTCTATGAAAAACGGACAGCTCCTAGCAGGCACCCCTATATCTCCACGAGAAAAACTCCTAAAGTGGAGAGCCGAACTAACTAACGTTAGCTAGCAAAAGTAGCTGCCGCTAATACAATTTCAGCTGGGGAAGAATATGGATCAAAAGTGAAGTTTAAACACAGCACGCAACGCTGACAGACAACCTTTTGATTGTGGGTAATCAAATATACATGTTTAACAAAGTTGTACTTACCGCTAGCGGACGGAAAAACGACGAAGTGCGCCGACTGTCGTTTCCCAACCACGTCGAGGGAATTGAGGAGCGCTTGGTGTAATCAAAAGGGTCTCCCGCTGGTTCCCTCCGAATGATTTCACAGTTTTCTCACAAAAACTCATGCCAAGAGATATTTAATTCCTGTTGTCATAAAAACTAAGATATTAGCATTGAAAAACTATTTTTTATTAATTCTGGCTTTGAGTTTTGCAATTGCAGTCAAAACCGTAGAGAAGTATGATAACATGCTTGATAGCCACAAGATGATATTTATTAAAATAACAGACAATGGATTTTAACCTTATTCTCCAGGCGTGTCCCCTCCGATGTTTTTACCATCCTCTATTTCTTTGACAACTAGGATCCTGAAGAAGCTTTCGGAGACTAACCCCCAGGACAGGTGCACTTACTGAGCTGTGCGACAGCCTCGCTGATTTAGATGTGACAGGGGGGAATAGAGTAAGACCGAGAGGTATTTCAGAAAGTTGAGGGTTTGGATTATTCCAATTGGTTCTGCAGACATACACACAGATGCATACACACCAGTATACACAAACCAAGCTACTTGAGGTCCACGTGCAGCCGCCGCGTCCCGACACTCGTCCAGCCGGCACAGCGGATCTTTTAGCCTCGAGAATCACGGGGTGGAAATCTGAACAGTGACCACCATCATCGTAATGGACGGAATTCACCAGGAGGATAGGAAACTACGAGAAAATACAAACAATTCAATAACAAATCTTTTGTTGTTTATATTTTCAAATATTGAAGGTGTATTTTTTGCTCATATTTCCATATATGACGTTTGAAGCTTAAAAAAACAAAAAGAATTCTCTCACTCCCATATGTGTGCGTCATAGGTAGTTCCCGGTTGCCAAGGGAACGGCTACCTTTCAGCCACAACACGTCCCTACGTCATTGCTCTTTGACGTCAACATCCCTACGTCATTGCTCTTTGATGCGAACATCCCTACGTCATTGCTCTTTGACGTCAACATCCCTACGTCATTGCTCTTTGATGCGAACATTCCTCATAACTCCTCTGGAGTCCTTGACAGCTGCACGCATTTTGCTCCTGGTCCTGCCTCAGTTCAAAATCTTTTGAACACTGACAATAGAACGATTTAAAGTATTTTATCCAACATTTAAATCAAACAGGAGAAATGGCTCAAGGACATACAACAAATCTGCCGGTTTCAGACCAGGGACAAGCAGAGTCAGCGGAACAGTACAACGCAGAATATATGAACCTGAGGGAGATCTCCGAAGTTCTCAAGTCTATGCGCATCAAAATTCGCATGAGCGGAATAAAGGTCGCAGGATGGGAATCTTTGGTGGTTAAAAACGACAAGTATGAGCAACACAGGCAGGAGGAAGGCATGGCTAGGAGAAAATGTGAAACCCTTCAAAAAGAGGTCAAGGGTGTCATTGATAAGGTCAAAAATCATCAACATTTTCACTCAATGTACAAAGAAAAAAAAGCCTCAATCCAAGAACTGTCGTCCAAACATGAAAAGCTGCAAGAACAACTGGAAAAGCAGCAGAAAAAGTTGGAGCACTTAAAACGCGAGGAGGCAAACGCTGCGTCCCTAACACAGGAACTCGATGAGTACGAGAGAAAAGTTAAGCTCCTGGAGACCGAACTGCAAAAGGTAACCAATGAATTTAACCTTTTTTCAGAGGCCAGTAAACGAGACGCCCATCATCTTAATGAGAAGAAGAAGTCTATGGAACGTACGGTGGAATTCCTGACCGCCCAAAAAGATTCCATTGAGTCGGATTACAAACATCTGGAATGTAAGAATAAGGTGCTGATTGCAAAGACACAGGGGTTAGAAATACAGCTTTTCGATCTGCAGGATGAAGAGAGCGAAATGAAACTGAAAGTTGAAAACCAACGGCGTGAAAATCAGGACGCAAAACAACGTAAGGACGCTTTGGAGGGAACAAATAATGATTTAAAACTGAAAATCCAGGCCCTCAATGAAGAGCTCACGTCCAGAGAGTCTTTGGCAGCGCAACTGAAAGTCCAGCAGACTGTTCTGGAGGCACAGCAGCAACAGTTGATTAAGGCCCACACGGAGGCCACCAGCAAGCTACTGAGCCAAAAAGAATGGAAGTCTGGCTACGACACACAGAGGGAACTAAAGGACGCCTTGGAGCTGAAGAACAATGAATGGAAAGAGAATATCCTCAGTCTAACGAACAGTCTCCAAGATCTGGACGCCTACAAATCCAACTACAAATCGATGAAGACAGATATAAAAGTTGCAACCAGACTGAATAACAATCTCAAAAAGCAACACAAGGCCCTGGAAAACAAGTTCTCAAAAGAGCAGGAGTATGAGGAAAAAAACAACGCAATAAAGTCAGAGAACATAACCCTGTTGGGTGAAAACTGCACTCTTCAGCGTCAGATTGAGGAACTGCGGAGCACCCTTCAGGGAACGCAAGCTTTGACTCGTACCTACAACTCCCTGGTGTTGGATCGAGACGCCAACAAGCGACAGAACAACGGCCTTCTGAGAGAACTTAAGCAGCTCCATAAAAAGGCCGCTAAAGAAGCGGCTCTGAAGGAGCGGAACGAGGCGACGCGGGCAGAGAACGAGAACGACCGCAGACAATTGTACTTTCTCCAGGAAAAAGTACGCTCCAAGTCGCATGTAGAAAGGGAGCCCCAGCAAGCGCATTGTTCGTGGTTTGAACCCCAGCCGCTCAATGTCCTGCAACCTACCCAACTGCTCCCTTAGGCCTCCCATTAATTATGGGTATTTAGGCATCCATTGAAGCATCGTGACTAGCGGGGCTTTCAAAAAATACCCTGACCTTAACCCTAGTCAGACACATCACACAAACACATCACACAAACACACACATACACATACATGTACACATAAACAATCACACATACATTCAATTATACATAAACAATAACACACTCACATAAACAAACACACTTACATAAACAAACAGACAATTACTTAGACATAAACCATAATAAACGTTATGGTTTATGTCTAAGTAATTGTCTGTTTGTTTATGTATGTGTGTTTATGTACATTCAATCATACATAAACAATAACACACACAAACACACAATTACTTAGACATACACCATAATACATATACATAAACAATCACACATACATTCAATTATACATAAACAATAACACACACACTTTCAATTAAACATAAACAATAACACACTCACATAAACAAACACACATACATAAACAAACAGACAATTACTTAGACATAAACCATAATAAACGTTATGGTTTATGTCTAAGTAATTGTCTGTTTGTTTATGTATGTGTGTTTATGTACATTCAATTATACATAAACAATAACACACACAAACACATAATTACTTCGACATACACCATAACACATATACATAAACAATCACACATACATTCAATTATACATAAACAATAACACACTCACATAAACAAACACACATACATAAACAAACAGACAATTACTTAGACATAAACCATAATAAACGTTATGGTTTATGTCTAAGTAATTGTCTGTTTGTTTATGTATGTGTGTTTATGTACATTCAATTATACATAAACAATAACACACACAAACACATAATTACTTCGACATACACCATAACACATATACATAAACAATCACACATACATTCAATTATACATAAACAATAACACACACACATTCAATTATACATAAACAATAACACACACACATAAACACACAATCACTTAGAGATAAACCATAGCAAACACATACACATAAACAAACATACAATTACTTAGACATAAACCATAACAAACACATACACATAAACAATCACACATACATTCAATTATACATAAACAATAACACACACATAAACAAACACACATACATTCAATTATACATAAACAATAACATGCGTATAAAACAACAAGGCCCTCCCCGAAAGCTATACCATTAATACAAGAATACAATAAATTCACACGTTAGACAAATTCACTTCAAACAAAATGTATATATCCTCTCCGGGGAAACATCACCTTATCGTGGTGGAGAGGTTTGCGTGTCCCTATGAACCTGAGGGCTGTGTTGTCAGGAGTCTTGTGCTCCTGGCAGGGTAACCCAAGTCATCTCAGGCGAGGGGCCAGACTAAGAATGGTTCAAAAGACAAAGTTCTACCAGAGAGCTATTGCATGAAACCAGTATAGGGATTTAGCCGGGATATTCAAGTTATCCTGGATGAATTTAGCTTTGACTTGGTTGCACGAAAGCAGGTTGAATTAAACCCAGCCAAGCACCCATGGAGATTTATTATTTGCAGCTAGTCTGCTCCAGAGCGAGTCTCATGTGTTAAATCGGTGGGGGACGTCGACTACGAGGTGGTGCGGTCTGACTGGGGCGAAGATACACAGATTTACCACCTGAACCTCCTGAAAGCCTGAAGGGGGGTGGAGTCGGTCTCTCTGGTCTGCGGTATCGGAAGGAGAGGAGCTGGGGCCGGAGGTTCCAAAAGCAGGTAATCATACCTCGCTCCCTCGTGAGGCTCATCTCTCCGAGAGCCAGAGGGCGGACGTTGCCAGGTTGCAGGAGTGGTTTGCTAATGTGTTCTCTCCCTTGCCAGGCCAGACCAACCTCATAGTGCATAGACGTCCCCGGGCGTGACGGTGAGGTCACGCCCTACAGGTTGCCCGAACACAAGAAAGAAGTGGTTCGGGGGGAATTGGCGAGTATATTATTAATAGAGTCCAACTGTGCCTGGTGCAGCCCCATCGTCCTTGTGGCTAAGAAGGATGGATCTGTACGGTTCTGCGTGGACTATCGCAGGGTGAATGACGTGTCACGGTTCAATGCTTACCCAATGCCCCGGGTCAACGAGCTCCTGGACCGGCTAGGCACTGCACGTTTCTTCACGACACTGGATTTAACCAAGGGCTGCTGGCAGATTCCTCTGTCGCCAGAGTCCAAGGAGAAAACGGCATTCTCCACTCCGTACGGGTTGTACCAATTTACCACGCTTCTCTCCGGGTTGTTTGGGGCCCCGGCCACGTTTCAGCGCCTCATGGATCGGGTGCTGCGTCCGATCACGGCATATGCCCTCGCCTACCTGGACAACGTCATTATCAACAGCACCACCTGGGCGGAGCATATTCAGCAGGTGGACGCGGTGCTGGAGGCGCTGGGTTGGGCGGGGCTCACCGCCAACCCGGGGAAGTGTGCAGTTGGACGGGTGGAGGTACGGTATTTGGGGTACCACTTGGGGGGCGGGCAGGTGCGCCCTCAGGTGGACAAGACGGCAGCTATCGCGGCCTGCCTGCGACCCAGGACAAAAAAAGAGGTGAGGCGGTTCTTGGGGCTGGCGGGGTATTACAGGCGGTTCAACCCCGGCTTTGCGGACCTCACCAGCCCCTTGACCGACC